ACTGGTTTGAACCCAAAGGGTAGTCACACCAAATATTGATTTGATTTAGATTTTTGAACAGATTTTCTTCTGTTTGCTCACTTTGCATTTTGTAAATTGATAAGCATAAACAATTACTATATTTTTGAAAGCATCCTTACTTTACAGCATTGTTTCACACCTGCCTAAAACTTTTGCACAGTATTGTATCTCACACTTGATGTAAACAGATTTTCATTGTCCACATTTTATATAGGGTCAACTGTACACAGTTGTATTGCTTTAATTATTAATAGTCACTCAAAGGATTTAAATCCAATCAGTCTTGGGTGCCTGATTTTATTTAAACATAATTCTTTCTTTTTTTCTTTTTAAAGAAACATGCTGTGAAACAGTCAGCTGGGGACAGAGTCCATGGTTAAACCAAGGTTTCTCATCCAATTCTGAATAAGGCTCAGAGAAAGCCAAGATGATAAGAAATGGGCTTTGGTCCTAAACCAGATTGAAAAAAAACCCTATGTTTACAATACAGTAATTTTTAACTTTGGGCTAAAGGGTCACATTAGCAAAGCAGGAAAATATGAGATGGCAATGTGTCCAAAGCCTGGATTTATTTTTTTTCTTCTGGGTAGTTCTGTTGTTATTTAATCCTGGAATTCAGGTGATAATTGAAATAAACCTCTTGTAAATAGGTGATTTCAAAAATTAGAATAACACAGAATGAAAATTGCATTATATTTACTTTTAGACCCAGTATAAATATATACTGATAGATAATGTTTTTAGTTAATATTTCTCAGGGGTGCCCACAGGTTTTTGGTAAAAAAAAGTCAAGATGGTAGCCACAATGGTATGATCAAAGCTTTGCTGATTTTTTATGTGTGCTGTATATACAACACTATTAGAAACATAGGCAGCCTACCTCCTGGGTTGCTGCATAAAATTTCACATAGGAGTTTTGTGGGCAATTTGTAATCCCTCTGTCTTTTCCCCCAGCATACTCTCTTTCTTTCACCTTTCTCTTGTCATGTGGCCAGTATCACACACGTGGCTCTTTGCCTAGTCAGACAGGTTTCTGCTTGCCAACTCTGCAATCAAAGAGAATACAGGCGAGGGAGAGAACAGCTGAGGTGGATTAAGCAACTATATCCTGAGCTGCATTTCTTAACTGGTGAATAGCTGATCACAGCTGCAGGCTTAGCCCAACATACGGCGCTCTGTTTTGTTAATGGAAACCCCTTAGCAGCAGCAGTAGTTTTACTGCCTGGTCGTATGATTTTCATCTGGGGTAGGGATTTGGCAAGGATATAACAAGCAATGGAAAATGAATGTAAGTAGGCAAGGTCAGCATTGTAGCTGTTTTTTCTTTAAAAATATAGAAGGGAAGAGTTTTTAAAAAGGAAGAATGGAGCAGAGTATATTCTTTTGCAAAGGAGGAAGGAGAAAGAAGCTCAACAGCATTTTACAAAGAAAAAAAATAGGCATGGAGGCATTATGACTGGAGAAAAGTTATTTAACTTGAAGCAAGCTTTTGCATCACCCAGCTGACCTTGCCTGTTTGTAGAAGCTAAGCAGAATCAGCCAAGGATAGTAATTGGATGGGGCTGCCTGGGAATTCTAGGGCTGTATAGTTAAAACTGGGAAGTTTAAAAATAAGTCTGTAACATTGCTAGGAAAACTGCATGGAAGTAGTCACCAAGAGCTGAGTTTCACTTGGGGATGCTTTTAGTGTTGTTGTTTTTTTAATGCATATGCTTTCTGTCACTTTTGTAGCTATAAGAAATATTTTTTGTACCTCCCCATTACTCAAGGTAATAAGCCTGATTCTGACCATATGCATTTAGAAATGCAATCTCCTTTGAAGTAAGTGTTCTTAGAATCATAGGGTGTGTTTAAAAACTAATTGTTTAATGCTGATGTTTCTTTTTCATTTCTTTGATGGTTAAATTTGGAAAATAGTATGGTTTTCTGTTGGTGAAATAATTCCATAATATGTGTAACAAACGCCAGGGAAGTTGTATATAAGGCAGTTTGATTGGTTTATGGGGTTTTCAGTTCTTTTGTTATATTGGAGACAAACATACAACTTATGAACACTTTTGCTTTCTTTAAAAAACTTACTGAGGCTTATAGCCTGTTCTGATCCATGTAGTCTCAGAGCAGCTTTCAAGATTCTCTCCCATAAGAGGATTAAAAGTAGTATAAAATCAAGTGGTTTTGTATTATGAACTGATGGGTTTTTTAATAAATGTAAAAACAATCATAATGGACCAGGCTGCTTAAGTTAATTTAATTCAGAGCTTGCTTTTGGAAGGCAAGTTGTAATGTCCTAATGCATTATAGACTGAGATTGTCCTCTAATTGGGTGAGGAAGAACATCCTGGTCTAAGTAAATACATATAACATTTGTGTTTTTTTGTATTTTTAAAGGAAACTTTTCTTGTTTCAGATATTGAGATGTTAACTGGTATGCAACTTCCATGGAAGATTGGTACCAGGCAACACCAACTCTGCATTTTCTTTCCCAGCTTCTGCCTCATAATGTATTCTTCTACATTAATTTAAATGTCCAAGGAAATTTTCTATCATTTTAAAATATAGCTTGGCATTAAGGTAGGCTGTGGGCTGTGCTGAACACAGCACTGTGATGTAGTCATTCCTGAAAGAAGTAAAACTATATTGTGTTCCCCAAGCTGCTCATAGAACTGAAATAGGTCCTAACCATGATGCTGAAATCTACTATAAGGGCTGAAACTGGGAAGGAGGGAACTGATAATTCTCAGGCAAGACAGAACCATTATTGAGCCATGGAACATGTTTCTCTGATTTTCAAGGCCAGGAAAAGAGCAACAAAAAGTTCATTTGGGGAAAGAAAGACTATAATTTAAATCCCAGGGACAAATAGGTGGCTGGCTTGCTGGCTTGTCATGTTCTTCATTGTGTAATTGACTTACCTCTTTGCAGGAAAGCAACCTTTTTAGTTGTGTTGAGCCTGGGAAACTTCTGCTATGAATGAATGTGTGGGCTGAGTTTCTTTAGAATGGCTGTCTATTGCTGTGCCTGGCAAAGTGTAACTATCAATGGCAGAATGCTGATTTTTTACTACATGGTTTTTAAATCTTTTTTGATGGTTTACTGTCCTGTTCAAGGCTGCAAGTAATTAGCTGAGAAAATCCAGTCAAAAGTTGTATTGATTGCAGAAGCCAGGCAGTAGACAACACAAGGAGTAAGTAAGCCAGTCTGCTGGCCAAAGCCATAATAAATCACAAAGAGCAGGTCATAGAAGTGAGAAGAGTCAGCACCATTACAAGATAAGTTGGTCAGAGGTCAATTAAAAAAAAAAGTGTTTCAAGAATAAACATAGCAAGATGCCACTCACAAGATTTTTTACCATCCATCTCAATTATCTTTAGATTCCCTTCCTTGTTCTAAGTATATTTCAGCTGTCTTCATTTGCTGATCATATAAGAGTTGGAAGGGTCTCCGTCTTGTCCAAGTGCCTGCCCAGGACAGGAATTTGTTATTGCAGGAAAGCTGACAGACAGCCATGGAGCCTCAGTTGTAAGACTTCCAGTGGAAGAACGTCTCACCTTCTGAGATATCCCATTCCATTGTTGAACACATTTTACCATTAGGAAATTTTTCGTGATGTCCAACCAACATTCATTGCCTCTTAATTTGAATGCAGTGTTTCTTATCTTTCTTCTTGAACAATTCTGTCTTGTCTTGTATGTGTCAGCTCTTTAGATACTTAAAAACAGCTATCTTTCTCACAGCTTTCTGTTCTCCAGGCTAAACATAACCAATGCCTCCAACCATATCTTCTAAGTTTTTCTTTCCTGGTCTTTGATTATTTTGGTTGCACTCCTCTAAACATGTTCTAGTTTGTCAATATCTTTCCTAAAATCTGATGCTCAGAATTGCATCCACTAAACCCACTCACTGCCTCCCCCCCCCGGAGATTTGCCTCTTAGACACAGTGGCCTCTAGAAGAAACTAAAACAGTGTTAATTTACAGGAGTCAGGTATCTCCAGCAGGCAAAAACAGGTTGTCTATGGATAAAATAAACCAAGTACTTACAACACAGAAAACCTGATGTTGCTTCGCTAATTTCGGTATGGAATTGATGAGATCCTGCATTTAGATAAATGTAGGGTGTCTGATTCCAGTTGTTTCTCCTTGCAATGTGGAAGTGGGAAAGAAAAGCACAGAAGTAATAAGAAAGGCCTCTTCTACATTATGTCTGAACAATCCTTGTGACCTCGCTTCAGTTAAACAGCTATGTTTTTATAGATTTGTATTTAAGTTGTTTTATATTTTAGACTGATTTTAAATTCCATTTCTGAGATTTCCTTCTCCAAAGTCTGCATATAAACATTTACACACATATGTGCAAACAGATAGGGCTTTGTAGATTGAAAAGCAAATTAAAAGACCTTACATATGTTTCTTTCCCTTCCATCTACAGCTAAGTATGAAGTAGTTAGTTGACACAGCATTTTTTTTGTACAGCTTTAGTTCTTCCTACAGCCACCCCCTTCCTGAACTTGTGGCTGTCTGCCAAAAGAGCAAACAGATTCCTCTGTATTCTTATTAGAATGTTCAGAAGTCAGGGTGCTTCCACCATAACTAAACTTAACAGCTGCTCTGAATTTCTGAAAAGCAGAAATATTTGTACGGTTTGGGAAGGGAATTTGGCAGATTACCTTGGGCGAAAGCTCATTGTTGTTGTTTCTTGTATGATAATCATTAAGGTTTGCAGTAGAAATGTTCTTGGCCATTACAATAGGCTCCACATTAAGCTGGTGGATTTAGGCACCTGATACCTGCTTCCTTACCCTGTCAAGAAAATGACACATCCTCTTTTCCTTTATTGAAATTGATAGCCTGGTGTGTTCTTGAGAAAAGGGTCCTCACAAATACAATAAAGCCAGAAAACCAGGACCCATGCAAAGACAAACCATCATATCAATGCAACACATCACACAGTAAAATATTAACACAATGAGGGCTCTGTTATTAAATTAATCATCTGGAAAATTATTCATTCAAGCTTATAACTGTCTCTGGAAGATAAGGATGGTTGGTTGAACACCAGTGGAACTCCCTTGGGAAGGAATGCCAAGACAAATTACCTTAGTGAAGAAGACTCAGAATACATTTCTCTAGTAGCTACTCATCTCTAGATAGTAGATGATGTCTTTGTTTCTTACAAGAGCTGTTTTAGTTGAGTAGCTAAGAGACTGAATTATATATTGATTATTTATTATGGTCAGTGACCAGTCCATACTAAATTACAGGTGGTCCTTGTTTAACAACCACTCATTCTGTGACTGTCCAAACTTACAACAGCTGTGAATGAGTGGTAGTTATGGCCAGACCTAGTATTTATGGCTGTCACAGCTTCCCTGCAGTCATGTGATCATGATTTGCAACCTTCCCTGCCAGCTTCCCATAAGCAAAGTTGGGAAGCCGGCAGGTAGTTGAAAATTGCAATCATGTGAGGTCCTCATTTAACTACAGCAACCAGGGCTGCTAGAACTGCTGTCGCTAAGTGGTGTAGTCACACAGGTTTTTTTTTTTTTTTTACTTACAACCATGTTGCTTAGTGATGGAGCTTCTGATCCCAATTAGTGTTGTTAAACAAGGACTAATTTGTATAGTTTTTTTAGTTTCTAGGAAGTAGTAATTTACAGTGTTGATATTTCTCCATTTTACAAGGTTGTTGTAAGGATTATAGCAAATTAATATACTCATAGTTAAAGTGTTGTAATGATTTTATTTAATGCTATGCATTTTATGTTCATTAATACCAGCTTAGATTGAGAACATTCTAACACACACACTCATACTTTCTTGAAAAGAAAGGTTGAAAATCCCTCATATTATTTGCTCTGAAATTATTTTTCTAATCTGTCCAGTATGTCAGTCATTAAATTGTTTCCAAGTTACTCTTATTAGATGTTTTTCAAAAGATCCCATTTATTTTAATCAGAAGATGATCAAGTTCTCTTGTTTTGCATTTCCTTACAATATGCTGGTGATTACAAAAGCTTTCATATTAGATCAGTATAGCCATGCTGGCTGGGGAATTCTGGGAGCTGAAGTCCACACAGCTTAAGCGGCCAAGGTTGAGAAACACTGGTATAGATATAACTTTGGAGTAGATTTTAACCATGCTAATAAGATTGTTGGTGGGCTGTAAATGATAATTTCTCTTATCTCATCTGAACCTTATAAGGATTACTTCAACAAAGCTATTAAGTACTCTAATAATTGTAATCACAGCCATGCATTTCCTGGGTCATCTCTTGTATGCATTACTGCAATGCATTCTATGTAGGACTGCCCTGGAGGCTACAGGTGGCCCAGAATGCAGTGCTGCAGATAATTATGGTGCACCTCAATGAGTCTATCTAACACTGCTAGTTAGTGAACTGCACTGGCTGCCAGTGGACTTCCAGGTGCAATTCATGGTTCTGATTGTTACCTTTAAAGTCCTTCATTGCACAGGTTATTTGTAGGACTACCTGTCTCCAGTTATTTCTGCCCATCCAATTAGATCTGAGAGAGTTGCCATTTATGGGTCCTGTCTCTTAAGCAATGTCCTGTCTGCCTTTCATAAGGCTTTGATAGCCTGTTTTTTTTCTTTCTTTCCCCTTCTCCTCCATAGGCATTGGGTCAGGAGGATTTATGAACCTATCCAGTATGATTGTTCCAATTGTTAAATTGTTTGCAGAATTTGTTTTATGTTCTGTTGTATTTTATTTATATTTCACCTTGCAGTGTTTTGTTTTTATTATGCTCCACCTGGAGTCATTCAGTAATCAGATAAATTAGGATTCTCTTAATTGGGATTTTAAATCAAGTATTTAAGTCAACCTTACCATTGTACCTACACAGTTTCTACTAGTTTTGGTTAGATATTGTTGCTCTTGGAAGTCACTTTCTAAAGAGTAGAACACTTTCAATCTCATCTCTTTTCACTTTTGCAGTTCGTTTTATTTCCTTCATGTATTTGTTCTGTAGAATTGTAATTAAGACTTTTCCTAGCTAGCAAAAAAAAAAAAAAAAAGCAAGGAGAATTTTAATTACTTCCTTATTAGGACTCCACTTGGCCTATCGAGAGATTTTTTACCTGTTCCTCAAAAACTTTGAATAACAACCTTTCAGAAGACCGTTTCCAATTGTATGATTAAATAGACTGTAGGGATACATAGGCTGTGTTTCATAGAGTTTGTGATCATTGCTAATAAAGACTTATCACAAAACTCTGCTTTTACCATCACGCTCTGAATGGTAGCCTGGACTATAGTTTGAGAGACATGATTTATTGTCCTTTTGGTGATTCTGCTCCATCACTAGTGAGTTGCTAAAAATATCCTGTGGAAGTTTTTTTTTTATGATGCCTGAAAAATAATAGGGAGTTAAAAACTGTTAATATTTCCCTTTCCCATAAAGCACCCATTTTAGAATGCAGTTTGGTTTGTTCAGAGGAATTCAGTTAGTTGTTGGTGCCTTTGTGAAATTCAGCACTGCTAAGGTGCATTTCCTGATGTTATTTTATAAATGGATTGAAACTGAGCAGTTTAGAATAGGACCTGTGGTTATATTGTTGTTGTTCAGTCGTTAAGTCGTGTCCGACTCTTTGTGACCCCATGAACCATATTGCGCCAGGCCTTCCTGTCCTTCACCGCCTCCCTGAGTTTGCTCAGTTTCATGCTCATGTGGTTATATACAGCAATGCAAAAAGTTTAAGGGAACGTTTCATAATTGATTTCCTTTCTTTCCATTAAAAATCTCTGTTTTAAACCTACAGGACTTAAAAAGTACCTGACTTTGACTAGTTTGGGTTCCTAAATGTTTGCTGTATTTTGTTTTTGGTGGTTGTGTGTGTGTGTGACAGCTATGTATGAGATAGATTGAATTAGCTTCTTCTATAAGTTTCAGAAAGTGGAAAAAATTAGTTACATCTTTAAAAAAAGACATCTACATGGCAGATGAAAACAGTCCCTGGTATTTTTATTCTTCATTACTATTAATTTTTAATATTTTTCATTTCACTTTGCCAGATGTCTGAAACCTCTGCCTAGAACATTTTTAAAAGTCAGTCTTCTGTCCATGAATAACAATGTTAGTCACAATCCCAGTTTTGTGCTTATTTGCTGAAAATTGAGATTTAGTTTTAAAAGGCCCTGTTCCACTGACCCAAAAAGTGAACATCTGTTGATGTTAAATTGCTCTTTGTAGGCTGGAATTTAAAATGCCCTGATGCAAAAAAATAATAATAATAATACATTGAGGGATATTGTGTGAGAGACTGGCTTTCTAAAAGAAGTACTATATAAAAAATCCGTAGAGCCAAATTATGGCTTATTCTTACAGATTGAAGTTACTTATCCTAAAAAGAAAGCTGCCTGTCCTAATGTGTAAGCCACCTAGAGTTACTTTCTAGTTAAGCCAACATGTACGTTTGTTAAGTAAATACATTTTCAACATATATAATTTCAGATCTCAGATTTGTAATTGTTAATATATTCTGTACTCTGCTGGGCTAAAGAAGTTAAAAAAAAATTCATCTGCTACAATACATTGATGTGGGACTCTGGGGGAAAATTTCCTAGCATGGAATATGCTCAGATATTTAGAAAGTTTCTGTCTAAAGACTGCATTGGAAGCAAAACATTTCACCACCAGTCAGGAATTAGTTTTCTAACTAGTTGTTTGGAGGAAGGCAAAAATGGACAAGTTAGTACAAGTAATCCTTGTTTAGTGACCACAGTTGGGACCAATAACTTGGGCATTAAGCGAAGTGGTTGCTAAGTGAAACCGAGACTGTGCTTACAATCTTACTTCAGCTTTTCTTTGCTTTACAGACCTGCAAAGGTTGTAAATGTGAGGACTGGTCTAAAATTACTTTTTCATCACTGTTGTAACTGCAAATGGTTGCTAAACAAGGCAGTTGCTAAACGAGGACTACCTGTACTTCACATTTAAGATATTTGTATCTGAAGCGTATTCATATATACAGCCAACCACTGCCTTCAGTTTAGAAAGATTGGTATCATGTTCACCTAGTTTATGTTTAATGTTGCCTTACAGTTTCTACTATACAGGTAGTCCTCCACTTACGACCACAATTGGGACCAGAATTTTCATCACTAAGTGGTGCAATTGTTAAATGAGTTGCACCTGATTTTACAACCATTTTTGCCAGGGTCATTAAGCGAATCACTGCAGCCATTAAGCAGATCACACAGTCATTAAGTGAATCTGGCCTCCCCTGTTGACTTTACTTGTTCGAAGCCCCCTGGAAGGTTGCAAATGGCCATCATGTGACCCTGGGACGATCCATTGTAAATACATGCCAGTTGCCAAGCGCTGAATTTTGATCACGTGGCCACGGGGACATTGCAACAGTCGTAAGTGCAAGGACTGGTCATAAGTCACTTCAGCGCTGTCGTAACTTCGAAGGTTGTTAAACGAATTCATAAGCTGAGGACTACCTGTAATTTCCTTGTGAGATGGGTGGTGTCCAAATTTGAAATATAAATAAATAAAAATAAATACATATAAAAATTTGGTAGATCATACTGTAGTTTCTGGTTGCAAAATTGCCAGAACACTATCCTTTCAGTTTCAAAGCTAGCCCTAGGCTTTGAAATGCAAACTTGGAAGCTTTGCAGCTTCCCCTTTATAGCAACTGATCAGATAGTCTGTTGGAGGGAATAAGCATTTAAATTTGGTTCCTTTTCCTGCAGCATATAGATTTTGAGTTCTGCATAGCTGAAAATATCTCTGCACTCAGCTTCAAAACCGTAGGTAGTGGGAACAATGCTGTATGGAAAAGCCCTTGATATGATAAATATCAAGGATCCCAGATTCAAAAGTGGGGAGGGATATTTAATAGGAATGTTTATCAAATACGGATACATAATCTGTAATGATGGGTGGTAAATTTTATGTAATGCATATTAAATTGCAGATTTAAATTAAATATTTATGTTACTATGTATAGGAAAGGTTACAAAAATGTTTTCATTAGTGAGTACATCTGTCATTTGTGTGTGAGTCCTTCATGATCTAAATCTTGACATCTTCCAGAGATGTGTGGACTGCAGACCCAAAATTCTAAGCCTTATTTGCATTTTTTTTTCATTTCCTGTGTAGCAAACTTCCTAGACAGCAGGCCCTTGAGGAATTCTGGGAAAGGGAACATTTATGCCAGGAAAGAAGATGGGGGAAGCACAGTAGCTGCTCCTCCCCAAAAGAAGCTGTGGTGTCACTGTCATCACTACTGTCCTGAAAATTCAAAAAACAACACCTGCAGGTTGGTGAGAAATGCTTCACACAATGTGTAATTTACACAATTTGCTGCATTGGTATCATGCCCATTCAATGTCAGTTGACTTAAATGCTTTTAAAAGATTAAACAAAATAATGAGAAATACATCTGTGAATGATTGTTAATGATGCTACCCAAATCTTGAGATTTTAGAAACAATAAATATCAGTTGCTAGGGAAAGGGATCAACTGATAAGGAAATGGTATTGCAGTGTTGTCTAACTTGTGCTCCTCTTTAACATATCTGTTTGATGGTGGACTTCATGCAGGTTCTTTTTTCTCCTGCTAAGTTCATTTTCCTGCTCTGGCATTCCATTCCTTTCGTAATTGTACACTGATGTTAAATTGACAACTCTTCTAATACCATTATATTCTTGCTCAGGGTAATGTAGATTTTGTTGGACTGTTACATCCATTAGTATTAGACAGCTGGGGCAATAATCAGAAATATTCTGTATTCTATTTTTCCCCCCCACAGCCCTGCTTGAGGCTGAACTACACATATAACATGTAGTATGGATTGTGGACTACTTTTAGTATTAAATAGTAGCTTCTTAGGCCAAGGTTTATACTTTATTCTAGTACTAATGAAAAATGTTTTCCTGCTATTAGACTAGTGATAATTTCTCTCTGCCAAAGAACAACAACAGATATGGGACAATATTATTATAATCATGGGAAGACAAAAAGAAGATAAATGCATTTCCAAATAGTGTTGATTCTGTTCACCTTCCTAACTTTATATTTGGTATTTGGAGTTCATAATGCTTGATACAAAACAAAATATTATTGAGTATATTTGTTCTGTGCAAATGCATTTTCCTACAAGTCATAGGCATGATTTATCAGTGCTTATTATTTCATAGACAAACTCAAGCCACACCTACAGTCTACACTGGTTGTAAGAGAATGGTTCTTGATAGAGCAAGAATGCAAAATGTCCATGAAATCTGGTGTTTTCTCTCGATAATGTTTTTTACATTACAGAAGATCCAGAAAATGTACTGGGTCATCTTAGATGCATACAGTTATCTTTTTCACTCAGTTAAGATGATGGTTTGAATGGCTTTCAAGTTGTCCTTCTTTTCTAACAGTAGAACTGCTGTCTTGTGTTTGAAAAAAACAACCTAATTCTTTGGGTTAAAAAAATACATTATTAGAATTACATCAAGGAATAAACTTCATAGTTTGCAAATCCAATTTATTGAATATCTATACAGACAGAATTTAAAACTGACTTATAAGATTTGGCTCTTCTTTTACAGAATATATGTTTGTACATGTAAACACACACAGGCCTTTCAAAATGCATTAGGATGCCTGTATTGGTGAATGTGACAGTTGATCTTATAACCTCATATTTTAAGCTACTTTTAAAGAAGTGTTCCCTGCTATTTCTAGCTCTCTGAGAAGTTGCCAGTCTTTTGTAATAGAAAGTGTAACTTCAGCTATTCCTTTTGTGTCCCTTCACACAGATAAAGGATATACTTTGAAGGATGCAAACATGAAACGTTGTCTAACTACAAATATTTACTTGACTACATAATACACGCCACTGTCTGTCCAAGTGCCACAAAGTGGATAGCTGGCAATTTGTACCCTGTATGGAAAATTTCACAAGAAGCGGGAGGAGATTTGTTTAAAGCATTTAGTTTGGGCTCAGAATGAAACCCACAGACTCTGGTACCTTTTCAAGGCTATGGTGTTGGGTTTCATTGTTACCTTACATCACCACAAAGAATATGTAAATACTGTCAACCTACCTGCAAGAGGAGATGGCTGAGTGCACAGGTGTTTGTAGCATGGATTGATTAACAAGGACCTTTTTCTGGGAGAGGTGAAAGCTACTGAAAGGGTTTCCTAAACCTGGGGTTGTAAAGGTTATGTTAACCTTCAGCCTTTTGAAACACTAACCATCACCATGTAAACGTCCTGCACCTGGGAAATTCCAAACAGACATTTATTTGCTAGTCCTTTAGGAATAACTTTCTGTAATAAAACTTTGATGTTGTCAAAACACTCACACATCTCTTTAAAAGCACTGAATTATGAATGCTTCCAACCAAGCAAATGCTCATTTTAGGGAGCTGACCATACTTAAACAACCACAGCACCTAACTGAGATGCTGAATTTGAGAAATCATCTTTAAGCCCAAATTTGATGGTGCTTATAAAAAGATAGCCAGCAATTGGCCTCACATAAGTGTCCTTTTCATCATGAAGCAGCTCTACAACATATTTATTAAAAAATTCCCACTAAATAATTGACACGAGAGGGAATTTAGGAAATGTTCAGCACCCCCATAACTAGAAAGGCACTGTTGAGCAGAAAAAAAGTATGCCTGTCAATTTTAAAATTTGACGTGTTTTATCCTTATAGTAAGAAACAGCAGGGAGGCCTTATTACATACCCAGCTGATCTGGTTTAGAGGCCCATCCAGATTCACTAAGTGAAAAATGCTGGGTCAGGAAAGACACTTTGAGTACATAGATCCCCCAGCCAGCAATGTAGTCCAATCCTGGTCCGTAGTCAACTCCTCTACAACCCTCAACAACTTACAAATACTTTCTAAAACATACCAATCCATCAATACAACCAGAGCCCTCAACACACACCCACTGCTGTCACTGCCATCTTCTTAAAAAAAGAAAAAGAAAAAATGGAGAAATGGATGGGTTTGAACTGCCAAAAAGCTCTATGACGTTCAAGAGCTGCAAGTAAAGAAAAATAATAATACAAATAAAAACTGTTGTTTAGATAAATGGGAAGGGGAGGTGGTGGTAATGACCAAAAGGTCTGCCATCAATAAAAATGACCCTTGCAATCCAACCACCATTGGTCATCCCAATCACCTTTTTGGGATTGCTGGTAGAGAGATCATGGTTGCAATGAAAGTGCTCTGATGTGGTTGCGTTTCACTACCAATTCCTTACTTTCAGCAATGTCAGTTTTTTCTGACCTGCTTTAACTAGATGATCTGGCTTAGTGATTGATTTTGAATGCATGCAGTTATGGGCATCTTCATACCTTATGAATGCTCCTTTTGTTTGCATAGAAAACCTCTGGTTGTATGTGTGAAATTTGGTAGTCCCCACATAAGAGGCTATTAGCATTACAAATTTGATCACATTCAGTCCAAACACCACTAAACCTGTGGGCATTTAAACCAAATTGAAGGAATGTGGCTTGAAAACCCTATACCTCTTTGTTAACTTTATTTTTTAATAAGGCTCTAGTTGCCTGAAAATATTATTTTTTTCTACAACCATTTATATTTTTCCAATTCTAGACTGTGGAGCTCTGTTTTTAAAAATCTTGTTCCAGGTCTGGGCACTGAGCCTGAGCATACTACCTCCAGGGTGACCAGGACTGTATGAGCCCACTTTCAGATTCTTGTATGTCCAGAATGGAGCAGGAATGTTCTCTATCCTGTTGATTTCTTTGTCTAGGCTACACAGAAGACATCTGATTCAGTAGTAAACCATATGTAAATTATTTCATGGGCAAGGGACCTTTGACACAATGTGCTTGCTTTTGTATGGATTTTGTAGACTTCAAAACAGTCATTTACCATCCATCATAGAATTCAATGCACTATTCTAACATGGTTTTATTGATTCAGAAGATTTATTGCGCTTTAAGAGAGTAATTCCTCTCCCCAAATAAATATGTGGAGAGTTGTAAGGACTGTTTAGAAAGATTAAGTCTAATCCAAAACAAGTTTTACACTGAATTTAGATCTTACGCACAACCTTCTGAGATAAATGGTATAAACATTTATTCAGGACATAGTTTAGGTTAAATGTAATCACTGACAAATTAAACTTCCTTTACCTGAGGGAATATATGTAATTCTGAAAATTAAAACAAGGGCATTTAGCATCTGGATAGTTACTAAACTATCATACCATATCCAGGTGTTACGTGGCATGTTTGTGGAGTACATATGCATTGAAATACATTGTATTTAAAGCCTGTATCTGTTGCATGTGGCTAAAATTTCAGTAGCTAACAGCAGCTGTCCAGTCTGAAAGTCCTGCCTCTGTCAGTCCCAAAGATTCCCATGAAAAAGGGACTGCACAGTTTTTAAAATGTGTCTCCAGGAGGATGAAGTTTTAATTTGCTTGACTCAGGGTAAAAAGAACAGTGTGCTTTGAAGGTCTCTGCTTGGAGTGGAAACCAGTTGGTGAGAAAAGGCACTGGAGAGGGGGGAAAGGAAAGAAGAAAGAGCAAAAACAGATGGCCAGGAGAGGAAGGCAGGAACAAAAGAGAAAAGGTGGCTTAAATAGAGAGAAATGACAGTAATTCTATTGTTACAGGGTTCTCAACCTTGCCCAAATTAATTTAATTGAAAAGCTTTTCTTCCCTACATCGGTGTGGTGGACAACCATATACAGTATGTTGTCCTTTGGGGGGAGGAAGGGAAATGCCTTTGGAGATTTTTTAAAAATTATCTTAAAAATTCTTTAATCATGAACTTGTAGGAAGGAAAGTGAGTTCTTCTCTAGTCATGATATCTGCTTAACCAGCTGCAACGCTTCTGGGCTGTGTCCTTCTTTGGACATTTTGTAAACGCCTCAGTTAAAATCACCCCCTGGACTAGGTAATTTTTAATTAAAGCATCGCCTTTTACTTTCTGGGTCTGTCAGTATTTCTGTTACATGCTATATTATTATTTTTTTCAGATGTTTACTTTGACTATAAAAAACAACAAAAATTGTTGAACATGACACACCACATTTCTGTTTTCTTAATTATTCTATGCGAGGTTGTAGGGCTGTGTTTCTCAACCGTGGCAACTTTAAAATGTGTGGACTTCAACTCCCAGAATTCCCCAGCCAGCATGAGCTGGCTGGGAAATTCTGGGAGTTGAAGTCCACACATCTCACTTTCCTTCCTACAAGTTCATGATTAAAGAATTTTTAAGATTATCATGACTAGAGAAGAACTCACTTTCCTTCCTACAAGTTCATGATTAAAGAAT